ATGGGAGGAAATCAGAAGACTGATGTACTTGGAGTTAAAGATTTTGAGCTGAAACTAAAGAGTGGCAGCACCTTGATCCTGAACCCAGCATTTTATGCTCCTGATATGAAGAAGTGCTTGGTTTCGGTTCCTAAGATGTCTATGACTGGATTCATAATCACTTTCATTGGGGAGAAAGTGGTGGTCAAGAAGGGGAAAGATGTGATCATGACTGGACGACTTGTAGACAGGCTATTTACCATTGAAATAAAAGAGAACGTTGCCTATGTCTCGTCCCCTAATGAATTCGATGCTACATATGACATATGAGGTTAGGACACATTAATATCAAACGAATGTAAAGATTACAAAGGGACGAAATTCCTCATAATTATAAGGGAGATTTATCGAAAATGTGCAAGTCTTGTGTGCAAGGAAAACTAATGAGAAAAAATACCACTAGAGTAAAAAGAGCTACTAGCGTATTGAAAATCATTCATAGTGACATATGTGGACCTATGAATGTGACCACCAAAAGTGGAAAAAGATATTTTATCTCTTTTATAGATGACCACTCACGATGTGGCCTTGTGTACCTTTATTCATGCAAAAATTAGAAGCCCTAGAAAAATTCAAAGAATATAAAGCCCAAGTAGAGAATCAAACGAATCTGAAAATTAAAGTTCTTAGAACCGATAGGGGGGGGGAATATTCATCTGACATTTTCAAAGAATTATGCATCGAAAATGGGATCGTCCATCAGTACATCATGCCTTATACTCCTGAATAAAATGGTGTAGCTGAGAGAAGGAATATGACCTTAGTGAAAATGGTAAGGAGTATGATGGGGCATGCAAATCTCACATTGGAGTTTTGGGGAGAAGCCGTATTAACGACATGTTACATCCTTAACCGGACTCGTACAAAAGCTGCCCCACTTACTCCTCACGAAATTTTCACAGGTCGTACTCCCTCCCTTGAACACCTGAATGTTTGGGGTTGCTCAGCCCATGTCTTTATCCCACATCAAATTAGAACCAAATTGCAACCCAAAAAACTGTCAAATCCAGTTTCATTGGTTACCCAGATCATGATAAGGGGTATCGATTCTACAATCTTGAAACTGGTATGATTATTAAAAGTCGCGATGCTCACTTCTTTGAGGAAGAGTTCCTTGAAGCAAGGGTGAGTAGAAAATAAGCCAACTTTTATGATGAAGCCAAAAACAAGGATGTAGTTCGAGACCCTGAACCTGAAACTTCTAAACCAACCCAACCTGTTTTTGAACTCCTTAAAGAAATTGAAGTTTTACCTAAACCAAGACGAAGTAACCGAGTCAGTAGACCACCTCTATACCTATAACATTTTGTCTACCTTGGATAACATTTTGATAAGGTTGGGAAAGATCTCGACTCAGAACCTATAATTCACCGTGAAGCCTTGATCTGTCCTGAAAGAGAATACTGGGTAGAAGCCATGAAAGATGAGTATGCTTCCATTAACGAAACCATGTATGAAAATTAATACCCTAAAAGTTGACTTCTGAAGGGAAAATAGAAAAATGCAAAGCTAGATTGGTTGCAAAGGGTTTCACCCAAAAAGAAGGGATAGATTATGAGGAAACTTTTTTCCCTATTGCCAAATTTCCATCCATCCGAATCCTTATAGTTATAGCAGTTCATTTGGACTTTAAGGTTCACCAAATGGATGTCAAAACAACCTTTCTAAATGGAGATTTAGAAGAAAAAATTTACATGACCCAACCAGAGGGATTTGAGGAGAAAGGGAAAGAAAACCTTGTATGCAAACTTAATAAATCCCTTTATAGCCTGAAACAAGCATCGCGACAATACTACATAAAATTTAAATAGACTCTTGCTCTTGCAGGATTCTCTGCAAATAATGAGGATTATTGCATATATCAAAAGGTCAGTGGGAGTGATGTGGTCTTTTTATCGTTATATGTAGATGATATACTAATTGTTTGTAGCTCAATTGTCCTAGTAGTAGTGACAAAAAATTTCCTTTCACAACACTTCGATATGAAGGATCTTAAAGAAGCTTCATATGTGTTGGGCATCAAAATAATAAAAAACATGAGAGAGAAGACTATCCAACTTTCCCAAGCAACCTATTATAAGAGGATACTGAAAAAGTTTGATATGAGTATGTGTAAGGCCATGTCAATCCCAATTGAAAAAAATATGAAGCTTAGAAATAAAATGTGTCCTACTGAAGATATGGATAAAAGAGCCATGGAGAGAGTGTCATACAGGAGCGCAGTTGAACTATGCGCTCACATATAAGGGGGGAACTGAAATAACAATAGACGGATATTCGGATGCAAGCTATCTCACGGATCCAGATGATGCAAAGTCTACATCTGGGTATATGTTTATGCTTGGAGGGGGTACGATTTCTTGGAAGTCAAAGAAACAAGATATTGTGGCTCTATCCACCATGGAATCCGAGTATGTGGCATGTTGTCTAGCAGCCAAGGAGGCAGTGTGGATTAATAAGTTTCTTAATCAACTTAATTTTAATCCTGTACTTTCTGAGGAGTTGCGAATTTTTTATGACAACACGGTGACTATTTGTATCTCTAAGGAACCTCGGTTTCATAAGAATTCCAAGCATATCAAGCTATACTTCTATCACCTGAGAAATGAGGTGAGATTGAAAGAGATTGAGATCAGCTACATATCTACATATTTAATGATTGCAGATCCTCTGACTAAGGGAGTTGTCCCTAATGTTTTTGTAAGACATGTGAGAGAGATGGGGATGAGAGAAAGTGAGGAAGAGAGAATGTAAGGCCTTCAAAGGCCAAGTGGGAGATGTTAGGTTTATGTGGCCTTTAAAGGCCTTATGAATTTGTAATGAAGAACATTTACTATAGTGGAACATAAACTCAGTGGGAGTGTGGTCTCTCGAAGACTATACTAAGCAAATGATATTTATGAATAACAGACGATGCTTGGTGATCTAGGCCAGTCGGTTGAAAAACTCAAGTTACATGGGCATAAAAAATAAACTAAGAAGGGTTTTTGGGTTAGCCCTTGATGAGGTCGGAGCTTATGCCTAGATGAGTGAGCTGAGGTATTGTGTGGCCCTTGTGTGTGATGGTATGCCTACAGAGACGGGGGCGAAAACCACATCCATGTTCCATCATACGGCATGCATATAGATAGATCGTTCGGGAAAATTAGATATACACCTTTAGGTGAAGCATATGCATGTGCGAGAGATACCCCTATGCACCATAGAGCAGTGGTCGCATCAGGTCGTAGTGTCCTTGACTTGTCTCTAGGGGAGGACCTGTAATCCACAAACTGGGATTGCGACTCATTAGTTCATCGACCAGATTTTGGTGATCCACTAATGAGCCTCTTCTTGAATTGTGGGTCATGGGAAACACTGGGTCGGTTCGATAAAGCAAGTGCGGTCTGCAGTTCACAGTTGAAAGTGGAGTACCTCGTGATCGTTGATTGAATTCCTGAACCATATGGATCTACTTCCCATCATAATAATTTCATCATGTTGATTTTGTTATTAAATTATTTGAGATATATTGTTAAATTATTTGAGATTTGGGGTGTAAAAAGCCCGGTTGAGGTAATCTTCGACATCTTTTCTTTTAAATGTTTGTTCTTTTATATTCTCACGCACAATATTAGGTTGTATGAATGGCATCAAGTAGTTGATATTTATTTTATTTTATTGATGTGTTATTTAATTTTTGGAATTTCTATTGTTTGTAAAAAGACCATCTGTGAGTGATCTTGTTGCCAAAATTATAAGGCGTGACTATTATTTTAAAAAAACAAATTGTATTTTCCCTACAAAAGATTACATAGGTCTTTCTTTTACAACCAACATCCGGTTGTTGGTTCCGCCTATTCCCCGATCCTTATTTGACTCAAGTCACTAAAATATCATAGTTATTCCATGATTCCAGAGAGCTATGTCAGTATAATTTGAGTTTTAGATTTCGCGGCCCTCCAGATAGATCTAGGAGACTAGGACATTCAAAGGCTAAAAATTATCAATACTAGGGTAATCCTTATCCAAAAGGATCCCTAAACTGCTCTGTGCTATCCATTTTGAATTTGAGCCGATCATCAACTAACACAATCCTTCATCACGATTATACAGACTTTACCGAGGGATCACTACAGTGAATTCACAAGTATTATCAAAAGTTCTCCAAAGGCTCTAAAAATTTGACAAAATGCTATGTAGACAATAGAAATACATCTGACCAAGTTCGTAACGAATTAAACTGACTTGATATGGTTTTGATAGTCGACTGCTAGCAGTAACACCCTTGTAACCGTGGTGAACTCGAAAATCGAAATTACCTCAATGGTGTCTAGTCTTTATGAAATATGGATACAGAAGTTTTGAAGCAATGTATTGCTACTCCCCCGTGTTACAAATCAAACTGAACTGGTTCAACAGGATTTTTGAGTTGATCACTTGTTCTACAGTTATATACCTTATGTAAACCATGGTAAATTCTGCTTTTGAGTTTTTTTTGAAGTTTATCTCAAAAAGTTAAAATATACTGATCTCGAAGAAGGATGCATATAAAACCTACCTATGGACACTAACCCTAGTGTAGGGCATCCATAGTTCATTGTCGAAACGAACACTTGAGGTCAACCTTGTTCATCATGGCTCAAACCCCAATGGTTTATAACACCACACTCTGAACATTCTTGTGATTACTGATACAGCTAACATCCCTTCCAACAGGGTCTCTTGATGTAATTTTGTACCCTAATTTTTCTTTTTTAATGAAATGGATAAGAGCCCCGACCTAGCTGATTTGCCTAAAAGTAAAAAAAAGAAAAAATTGGAACAACATTCATCCAATTTGGTAATATAAGTCCCCATCAAGGGATGAAAGCATGAAGCTAACTTTGAAAAAATACTCTTAATACATTATTTTTGGTATTAATACATTTTTTCATATTTCTTTGATCCTTCTCATCCCTGGAATTGTGACTTCCCATGTGTTTAAATTTTAAACTAGGAAGACCTTTCTATTATTTCACTATATAATAGCAATAGACAATGAGTACAAAACATTCAAAAGTACAAAGAGCACGCAATAATATACAAGAACTGCTCCCTATACATCTTTCTCTAGCAAGACAAGGATTTCCTGCCTCCTCTTCTACATATTAATAAATCAATGGCTCTATCATATCAACATGATTATTATATGAGAGAGACAAAGAGAGATGTTGCTAGACCCTGAAATGTACAAGGTCAGGGTCTATGTCCTGCGGTATCCGCCTCTCAGTCGGGAATTCGGGCAGGAAACTTGCGAACAATCTTGCGTTGTCGAGGTACGCTGCATACATTTGCTCTAAACCTCTGTTATTCTCACTCACGTTTCTCAACAAAACACTCTCCTTCTCATCACTGCTAATTTGGCCACCTGCAACTAGAAGCCTCAGTCTATCAAAAGAGAGAAACATCTTCTCAACCATACCACCAACCTTCGATGTACCCTGTCGAAGTGTCCAATCTCCAGTCATCCAGTTAAAACGATAAAGAGGCAAGAAGCGTTTGCCATGGAGCGCTATAAACTCCATGGCTGCAAGGATGAACTCAAATTCTTCATCAGATATGTAGTAGGCAAAGTTGATCCTAGTCCACCCAGGCCTTAGTCCATTGTAACCCTGCAATGTCCAGTTCAAGGGCATTTGAGTACGGAAAAAGTTTATATAGAGCCGAGACTCTAAACAATCAAATTAGAGCCTACCTTCAAATTTTCACTAGAAGAGGTTATTTTGATGCCCAAATATCCGCGAATTGATTATCACGACATCAAGACGGATGGACATGAGAAAAAAATGGAGTTCCAGTTTTGAAAATAATGCATATTGTAATGCATTTTGGGACCGTTAATTTTCATGATTTTCAAATTTTCATAGATCTGCTCAATCGATATTATTTTTAAAGCTTTAAATTTCATAATTAGATATGAAAATATATTTTAAAGCTATCACAAAGATTTCTAGTATTAAAACCATACTTCTCAATACTATTTGAAGGTGCGCTCTACTTTGATTGTTTAGAGCCTCGGCTCTATACGAACTACACCGTTTTAGTAATTCTCTCCAAGTACAATTTAGAAGGAACTTGCACTCTTTTTGTCGCTGAATTCCCAAGAATAAAAGATGAGATCCGGTGTACTTTCCTAGAGAAAGTATGGCAAATAAATACATGGAGAAAAGAAATATTATTATTTCATTATTTTAATGAGGAAAAATGTATACAAATACTATTTATCTTTGGTACGAGGAAGTCATAGTCAATATTGACCATTAGACCAAACTCAAACTTCAAAAGGAAAAAAAAAATTGTCCAATTCTATTGCGCATCCCAGGCTTGCGTTTTGCATCAAGGTGAATTGTAACCTCCTCATACTAAATGTAAATGGTCTTATGCTATAAAATCTCTTGTAAACCCTCTTTTCAAAAAGAGATATGTTGTGAGTAATACATGATTAAAAAATTGAATTATATGATCACACTCATTTTTAGCTGTTGAATGCGAAATCCAATAGATGAAAGTGTGTCACAATATTTGAGAAATTTTGTTTCGAATTTTGTGCTTAAACAATAATGCATCTTCAACCACTTGATTTCAAGTCTAAAGGTCAATAATGATCGTGACCTCTTGTATAAAAAATAAATGATCTTTATATGTATTTTCATAAAAGACCATATTTTCAAATCAAAGCCCTCTTTCTCCCATGTTGAAAATTTGAATATGGAAAAATGAAAGAAAAAACGTACCACAAACACAAACCTATGTGCATGAACAACATAGACCACTACTATCTGCTCTCTATTTCGACCTAATCAAAATTGTCAACTGTCTGATGTAAACTTGCCAAGGATTACCAAAAGGAAAATTGTTTCATGCTGGTTGGACGGCATTTCTATATATGCCGTCCGGAAAGTGTAAAGCATCCATCTTAAAGATGGATGCAAGTAGGTGTTCCATTTAAAAAAATGGAAACTAACGGTCCAAATGTTATCTTACAAGAATTATTATTTCTAGTTTTTAAAATTTATTTCTTTTTTCATATTCACAATCTCCAAGTTAGAGATCACATGTCCTTAAAAATTAAGTCTTAAAATCCATCTAAAAAATAGATTTATTAAGAGGCCTGCATTTCTACATATGTGCGCTTGGCCGCATAGAAACCGGGTCCTTATCAGAAACCCTGAAATCCAATTGGAAAGGTATCCTATCAATTGTAATCCATAGAACAACTAGCAACTTATGATGCATGTTTTTGCATATATAGGTTGTGTATAAAGGCATTCCAAATCTAAAATTGGGCTCTGACTCACCAGGATCCGATGCGATCGGTCCAGCTCGGATGATTCCTAAGGCAGACCAAGCTATACCCAACAAACATTTTTAAAAATAGCTAGAAAAAAACTCGAGAATTTGGTGATTCGGACTCCTAACCCGATCTGATTTCCGAGTTGAACAAGTCTTTTTTAAAACTTCTTATTTTGAGGTAGAGAAGGTTCATTACCTTTTGAATGCCTGATCTTATGGAGAGAGACTCCTCTTTGCAAATGTTCAATAGAATGTGACCATAAGGGCCAGCACAAGCACAACCTCCTCTTGCTTGAATACCAAAGAGATCATTCAAAAGCTTGGCAACAAATCTACAATGGAGAGGCTTCTCTTTCCTAATGGATCTCTCTTTCGATATGCAAATGTTGTCTTTCTTTGAGCTCAAGTCTCTTTCACAGTGTCCATCGAGGCTCGTAGTGTAGATAAGGAAGGAGATGATGGGTAGGCGCTTAACATGGGTGTTCCCTAAAATGCTTATGTTGGCATTAGGCAAGATCCTAGCTAGAGCTCTTTGCAATAGAACTTGCTCTCTAGATTCAATGAGGGAGTGTCCCATGTACTCTTTGATCCAAAAAGCAAGGGCAGTTCTTATGGTTTGAATGATGCCTGGGGTGCCTGCTCCCTCTCTCTCCTCGATGTCCTCACTATATAGAGTGTCCTGCCATAAGGGATCTTGTTATTCAAAATTTTATGCCATGAAAGTACTGTATGATCATATGATTATAGATAAGCTGTGGTCGGCGGTGTTATCATCGTTCGGTTGTTGGATGAATGATGATAGAGGGGATTGGGAACTAATAAGAAAAGAAAACTTATAAAATAAAACGATTTACTTATGATATAAAGAGCTCGCAATCATTATTGACCGTTAGATGTGAAATAGGGTGATTGGAGATATACCATTAATTGAGTACAAAGTCTTCAATAAAATTTCTCGAATGTTGTGTCATACTTTAAATTAGTCAGATTTCACATCTAGTGGTTGAGAGCAGTTGTGGCCTCCTAACAAAAGCTACTAGCCTTTTATTATACAATCCCCTAAAAGAACAACATGAAGTAAAATGAAGATCATATTGTTTCTCCATTAGTGATTATAAATTGATGGGATTGTGATAAAATTCGTGGCTGTAGTCAAATGATCTTAGAAAATGTTCGCAAGAAAGCTATGGTCATAAGAATCATTATTAAAACCAATATTTGTTTGACTTTAGCTGATTAGGAAGGCTGGTTTTAACAAGGCTTCGTTTCTTTTGGGTTAGTGGTTTTGACAAGTTAATTTTAATATATTTTATATTTTCAAATTGTTATTGTTATTTTTTTTGTTTTTTTTTTTAAATTAGACCAACTAATTCGACCAGTGGTTGGCTGTTTCTAATAGATTAGAGCTCTAACCAGTTTGATGGGTTGTCTAAAATCCAAATGAATAGATTAGAGCTCTAACCAGTTTGATGGGTAGTCTAAAATCCAAACAACACTGGTCGTGCTATTATTGTTTAGTCAATATGTGGCCGGTAATGGAGAGAAGTTGAGACCTCAATACCAAGACATGAGCTTTATTTTCCTATAGTCATATGGATCTAAATATAGAAATTGAAAGTACCTCTTCATTGAAGCCATTGACATAGGAGACAGTGCCTCCACCACAAGTGGAAGGAGGGTGTGAAGATAGCAGATAGAGGGCCTTGGACATGAGAAGAATTCCAGGGGTCCCTGGTCCACCAACAAACTTGTGAGGGCTCATGAATATCGCATCGTAGCCGTCCAACTCTCCGCATCGCATATCTATTTTGACATATGGACCACTGTTATCAACAAGTAGCACGATCTCAGTCATCATCATCGTCAAATAACAGAGTAATAGTGACTTTTTTTTTCTTCGTTCATGCAGCAATTTCATTTATCATCTTTATTGTCATTATTAGAAGTTTGTTTATAAAGTATATTAGAAGTCATAACAATAATATGGGCAACTAAAAAAGGGTAAATCAGCTTAATTAGTTAATTGGCATGACTTTGAAGTGTTCAAACCCTTGATATCTCTTGCCCAGATTGGTTTACCTACCACTAAGCCTGAGAGAACAAAGCAATACCAAGGAAAGGGCCCGTGCATCACCATCATCACCGATATTATTAAGTTACATATTGATTCTTCTTCTTAAAAATTTAGTAGTTGAAAAAGTAAAGCGTTAGATGTATCAAGAGATATAGTTATTGTACTGCATCTTTGATGCATCATTTTTTTTTTGTTTTTTTGGTAATTTAATGGGGAAGACAGGTCGTTTTTTAAATAGATTGGAGAGTTATATTTTGAAGATGTTATAATTGAAGACATCGGAATAGATACCAAGATGTAGTAATTGGGTGTGAGGATGCTACCACCATGACCCCAGCCACATTTACCATCTATTTATGCAATCAGTAGTGGGGATCGTGCCCAAATGTCATTATTGTGCACAATCGTCATTGTCATTTACAAATGGATGGGGGATGTATTAGGGGACAAGTCCAACAATTTCATCCACTGGCTCATAAGAAAGAGATAAAAAATGAAAAAATAAGAATGTAATTGACATTTTACTTTTGACACAGTTTATAAAATTGAACGCTTTGTTCGGTTTGTTACAAAGTTATGTTTCAAGTTTTATTCCTGGTGCTAAAATGGTAGCTTGGGTTGGCCGGACCCAACCCGACCAAGTTATACATGGATCGGGGCTTGACCCAGATTCAAATCGCGTCCAAGTGACTTGAACTTGGACCCAATTTGGATCCGGGTCAAGTCTAAGTCATTTGGACTCAAGCCTGGTTCAGGTCCAAATCATTTAGACCTAGACCCAATCCATATTTGAGTTAAGAAATTTTAAAACATAAAAAATGTAATTTATATATAATTCATATTTTATATTCTTTTTCATAAATTTTATACCGGGTTGGATCGGTACAAATTGAACTTGTACCGGACCCAACTCGACCTGATATGGATCCATTCTTGAGAGGGATATGGACCGAGCCTCCGGGTCCAAAACATGGACCTGAACCCAAACCCGGTACCGGTTGATCCAACCCGATTGCCACCTCTTATAGTTGTCCACACAAGGCGTAGAAAAATCAAACTATTGGTGTATTTTGTTTCTCCACTAAGCGTTCAGTATGTACTAAATAACATGCATAAAATGGCACGAGGGAGACTTTTTGTGCCCTAGTGGAGAGACCTATTTTGTGACCAGGAAGAAAGAAAGGGAAATTTCAATGATTTCCTGCTCCCGGAGTTGCTACGGCTGGCAGTGGACCTAGCGGCCTGGCCTGGCCTGGCTCGGCCTGATTGGCACGGCTCTAGAAAAATAGGACCTGGGATAGAAACTGTGCCCTGAGGGTCGGGCTAGGGCCAATGCCGGCCTTGGCCCAGCCAAGGCCTTTAATTTTTGTGGCCCAGTTTGGCCTAACAGGGTCAAGGCCAGTGTCAGGCATGGCCAGCCCTACGCTGACAAGGGTTGGGCCAGTGCCGGTTACCATCCTTACTCCCAAGGGAGTAGACTGTTCATTTGCTTCTGAGGGCAAAATTCGACCTGGTGATACGTTCAGTACGTCGAAATTTAGGAGATGCATCCGCTTCAATCAATTGACAAACTTTCAAAAAAAAAAAAAAAAGAAGCAAAAAAAAAAGCTCTTTAATGAGCATGAGAGATTTTTTTTTAAAAAAAAGAATTGAAAATAAACAACTATGGGCTCTTGCCAAAAAAAAATAAAACAAAAGAGAACATAAACCATTCAATTTTTGAACAGCTTGTTCTCCGCAAAAGAGAACCCAAAATTTAGATTCTTCTGTGAAATGATTATCAAGTGATTATTTGGTGGATCCAAACAAATCCTCCTATGTGACTTTTTCACCCGAGGGAGCAACATAGACTCCCTCAGGAGCATATAATATTAGGATGCACACTATTCAATAAACTTCGTCAAAAATAGGATTATGCAGAGCTAGGTTAACAAAGCTAGCTTTAAATATAATATGAAAAAGGCATATTCCATTTCGCATTTTCTTTTAAAAACCATAGTCATGAAGTTGTTTTTCTTAAAAGTCTTGGAAACATCGATCTAGTCAGCTAGAGATGAGGCTTAGAAAAAAGTGGCATATAGATACTAGGGCAAATAATAATGTAGGAGGATAAAATTGTTTAATAAATAAATAAATTTTATGTACTTTATACGTGCGCATGACCATTTAACGTAAGGTTAGATTCAGTGTTTTGAGAGCTCAAAATATAATTTTTTTTTTAAATTTTATATTATTCATCTGGCGATGATGAGGTAATCTATAAATTTTAAGGTCGAACTTTGGGCCTATACTCAAAATGCATTTTCTCTCTCTTAAAACCATTTTCCAAATTTTTTATTTATTTGAAACTTGATCTAAAAAAATATCATTGATGAAATGTAAAGAAAAATTTATCAAAATACCGATAAGAGTTCATCAATTTAACATTTTACCCAATTGCAACTATTCAAAGTCTGAGTATATTTATTTTGATGGGTATTTTTAAATTAAATCAATAAATATGAATAGAGTATTAAATAGTTCATCTCTCATAGATATTTGAATAAATTTTCGAATGAAAATGCATGCTCTCTCTTGCCCTTTGTCCATAGTGGGTCAAGTAGGAGAGAGAGAGAGAGTACCTAGCAGCAAAGTCGAAGCAGGCGAATGCCCCGTACTCATGAAGGAGCCGAGCAATAGCACGAGTGTCTGTACAAATCCCGGTGACATTACTGCAAGCTGAGAATGAGCCGAGCATCGGCCTGTTGCCTCGTCGTGTTGCCGCCTCAAGCTTTTTACGCAGCATGTTCATATCAATGAGGCCTTCATCATCCACCCCAATTTCCACCACCTCAGCCAAGCTTTGTCTCCATGAAAGAAGGTTGGAGTGGTGTTCGTACGGCCCTACGAACACCACCCATCGTTCTTCGGGCTTTAGAATTAGGGTTTCGAGGTATCGAGATCGGAGACTAGAGGGTATGGCAACGCCCATTACTTCGTGGAGCCTTTTGATGGCTCCAGTGGTGCCATTGCCGCATAAGAGAAGGATCTCCTCTGTGCCACTGCTACTGCCCAGACATGTCTTTATGTATTTTGTTGCCTCTTTTACCATTTTCCCCATGCGCTGCCCTACGAAGCTGTCGTTGGTGTGCGTGTTTCCTATGTAGATTATAACAGAAAAAGGAAAACAATATGCATTAGTGTGGGTAAAAAAGGAAAAAGTTTATATAAGGTTGCAACCTTAAAATGTAGAATTAAAGATGCAGCTCAAAAATCTATTAGAAAAAGTAGTTTTATTGTTGACAAACCCTCTAATTGATTATCTTTATATCGAGATGTATGACCAAGGCTTGAAACCTTGTCGAGTTGAGCCGGATTCGTCCGGTTTGATTCGGAAATCGTCTGCAACCGAACTAGTTTTTTCGTGGTCCGGTTCGACTCGAAAATCGTCTGCAACCGTGCCGGTTCGTGGTCCGATTCGACTCAGGAATCGTTGCAACCGAGCCGGTTCCACGAAAAAATCGGGAATCGCCTTTGTCCAAAGAGAACCGGGCGATTCCCAATAGTGAATCGCGAGTCTTACACATAGCCGCGGGCAATTCACTATTAGAATTGCGAGCGATTCACTATTGGAATCGCGGGCGATTCACTATTGGAATCGCGAGTCTTACACATGGCCGCCTCACGGGAGCAACACGTGGCACCTAAAATCTCCACACGTGGTAACTCACCTCACATGTTGGCCCCATTGCTTTCTACACACACAAGGTACTATCTATTACACATGAATATATAGAGAACAAAGCAACGCTCATCCTTCAATATGGGATAATTCCTACAAAAAATCATTAAAACAAGACGATTGAATATATATTATTATAGAAGCTAATATATCCACATAAGGGGACGTGGCGGTGTTGGTTGACATCTCCGATTTTAAGGGGGAGGTCTAGAATTCGAACCCCTTAGCGCGTGAATCCTCGTTTTTTGCTGTTAAAAATATTTTTGTTTTAAAAAAATAGAAAAATAAAAAATAAAAGGCTTTTTAAGATAAAGATAAAAAAGATAATACAACACTTTTTTATTTTTCTTGTAAAAAAAATAGAAAGTAATATAACAAGTATTTCTTGCAAAAAAATAAAACAAAAGGCATAAAAAAATAAAATGTACTTTGGCAGCATCAGTTTTTATTTTTCTTGTAAAAAAAAATAAAAAGTAATACAACAAGCAAAAAAAAAAGTAGTACAACATCTTCTTCTTGTGTTAAAAAAAAGAAAAAGATAATCAACAAGTATCATATTTTTCTTGTAAAAAAAAATAAAAGATAACACAATAAATATTTCTTGTCAAAAAAATAAAAAGTATTTCTTAATACAACCTAAGAATAAATGGTCTGATTATTTTTTTTTTTTTTTATAACATGATGGTCTTTAACATAAATTTAGTAATATTAATGTAAAGATAGTATTCATACAATGAGGCCATTTGAAATCTCTCTCTTTCTACTAAGTAGTACTAACAATCTCTTCCACTAATTTATTCTAGAAGCCTAAAAAATTAAAAAAAATTGGTACGCATTCTAATAATTTCTACATTGATAACCAAATCTTTTCTTTTATTTATTAATTTTTATATTATAAATCATGTAGTGTACTATTTTTATTATAGTTGTCAATAATACATTTCAAATTAAATGATATTATAAAATATTTTGGATTTGTTATTATTTATATAATAAAATTATTATAAAATATTGTTGGTATATAATATTATCGTTAGTTATGTTGTAATAATTTGGGTTTTTTTAACGGATTCGAGATTTTAGTGGTCAATTTTTCATCGATTTAATGAATTTTTTATTGTAGTCCATATATGATTATATACTTAATCCATGATAATTCTATGATTTCTTTTGTGTGACGTAAATTTAATGGTCAACATAAGTTCATATAGGGAAAGAACATCTCAATATTCATAAATTGATGAAAACAATTAAAGTTAATAATGTAGTACCCACATTTCTTATTGGATTCCTAAAAAACAACATTTATAATGAATTTTAATGATTTTTTTGAAATTTTTTAAGGCTTAATCCAAGCGATTCAACCCGATTTCTAATCCGGATCGCCGATTCGCCGATCCGGATCGGTTCTTGGGATGTCTGATCCAGGTCACCGATCCTTTTTTTTTAAACCACTATGTACGACTATGAAATAAAAAATAAAATTTGAGTTTTAGAAAATCTTGCTATACATTATCTAGACCATTCATTTTAAAGATTTTCATATGTTTATAGATCTACTTGATTTAACCATTTTTAGAATTTAAAATTTTATAATTAGATATAAAAATAAATTTGAAATAATCCTCAATATTTTTTACATTAAAATCACATGTTATGATAAAATTTGAAGATGCGCCTTAATTAGATTGTTTAAGGTTGCAACCTTGTAGAAACCACACCCTTAGATAAATAGGGTTATAGTTTTGATTTCAAAGGAATAGGTGTCCTTTTTTTTATAGGGAAAGCATAGAGGGATACAATTTAACATTGGTACATGGTGGTCACATCAATCTTGACCGATGTAAATACTGGGTAGCTATAATTATTATGTTGACCAAATTCAAATTTCAAAAGAAATTTTTTCGAAGTTTGCAACACTTTCGAGCCATCAAATTTCATATCGAATGGTTGTAAGTAATTGTGACTACGTTGTATCAAAAGTAAATGGTCACATGTATATAATCCCCTTTTTTTTTAACAATATATTTATTTTAAATATTATTTACTTAACTTTTTTTATATTGTGAGAGTATGTTCTCTAACCCAAGAGGATCAAACTTGCCGTGTCACTTTAATTAATGAAGCTGAAGCTATAAGCCTTTTTAAAAGGCATTAAACTGTTGTCAAGAATTGAGGGAGGGAAGATTATAGAAGGGGATTCAACAAGAGTAAAGGCCGAGCTAATGTAGGATGGAGGATGACCATAATTTTTCATGAAATACAGGATATTCTCAAAACTATAACAGTTGAAATTCGTTATTGTCATAAGGAATCTAATGCCGAGGCTGGTTGTCTTGCAAAAAGAAGGGGTACACTAATCTTTGCTAGTGATTACTTCTTTCTAGTGACATTGACTTTGTCTGTATCTTGTAATTTGTTTTTTTTTTATTAATAAAAATTCTTTGGTAATGGTGAAAAAAATATATAATTAGGTGAACCATAAATATTTGATTCGATTAAATTTGGTAGTCTATTAGGCGTCCAGTTGGCCTAAATTTTTTAAAATAAAAATAAAACTTTAAAAATATGAAATATGTTAAAAAAATTACTTAACTTTATCTAACTACTTTAACTAATGAAAACTAACAAGTCCATCAATAAAAACAGTCGAATATCATTTTGACAAATTCTGTCAATACCTAGATTTTGCTTTGAATAGGAATTGGCCAAAGCACCATACCCATCTAGGAGTGGCAACGGGTCTGGCCGAACCCGAAGCTATTAGACTTGGACCCAATCCCAACTGGACTCGACCTAAAAAAAAATATTTAAATGTTGTTTTAAATGTATATATATTATTTAAATATTATAACTAAATATTTATATTTATTTAAATATTATACATATTAAATATTATTTATGTAATAACACTATTCCTGTCGGGTCTACATGGACCCAAATCCGACTTGCCAGGTCTAATTTTTAGACCCATACCCGGACCTGGGCCTGGTCTCGGGTGGGTCCAGATCCATCGCCACCCCTTACCCGTCCAAGCGACTGGCCGATATGATAGTTTCATAATGCTGGTCAACCATAAAAGGTTGAACTTCAAAGGATTGAAGTCTAGGGGTCAAAACAAGTCCAAGGTTTGAATGCCACTACCTCTAAAACCCATTTGCTTATCTGCAGTCTGTCACCAACGCGTAGACCATATGGTTCATAAACTTATTTGCTCCCTCACAAAAAACATGCAACAGGGGTACATCTCTAGTGTTTCAAAATCCAGATTTATAGGGCGGATCATTCATCCACGGATTCGTGTTGGATCCTTAAATTGGCAATCTAAATTGGGTTTGGATTGGTCTAAGTTAGTGATTCAGAAAAATATTAAAAAATAAATAAAATAAAAAAACAATGAAATTAGGGATTTAAAGGGTGGGGATTTAGAAGGACCTGAGAAAAAAAAAAATTGGAAGGGGAGGGGAGGGGGGGGGGGGTTGAAATTAAATGAAAAATTATATGAGTAATGTGTTAAATTGTTCATCTCTCACGAGTAATTTGATAAATTTCCCTTTTAAAAAAAGGCTCCAGATATATTCCCCTACCAAAGTTGATGGAGAATGAGATTTCTAGCTTAAGAGTTCAAAATCTCTTTTTTCTTTATGATTTTGTAATTTATCTATTGTTCTAATAGTTCATATTGTTTACCTTTAAATGTGAAACTTATCAAAATACCCACATGAGATGAACTATTTAACATTCTACCCATTTGCAAGCATTCAAATTCAAGATCATGCATTTTTCTATCGGTATTTTGAAAATGAAATCAAAACATACGGTTAAGAAGTTAAATTGTTCATCTATTATGAATAATTTGATAAGTTTCCCTTTTTAAATTGATAAAAAAAATGAACTAAAAATGCTTTGTAAAGCGTTGTGAAATTTCCCTTACTAGTTATTTCACCCGCGGTACCACTAACCTCATAGTCCGATCATAAACATTTGACATGGTCGATGTGTACCACTAAAATACTCCATTTTATTCAAAAATAAAAATTTAAAAAAAAGAAAAAAAAAAAAAAACAAGTAGTGAAAGCAAAATTCCCATTCAAAAGAAAACCAACATAAGGCCACCAACCCTGGCAAAGACTAGGCGGAGTGCCGAGTCCGAGTGCAAAACCTTGAGAACTAGTTTAGTCTCATTGGTTTTCAAAGCTTTGCTGTTACGATTGATGAGACTTGGCCGAGTCTGATTCTGACCGGCTGGAGCCTACCTCCTGACTCGGGCTCCAGACCCACCGAGTCCCAACCCAAGTCCAGTGTTTAAGAAACTGAAATCATCTTACCATAGAATGGAAGAACATTGTGATGGAAATAATTCTCGACATGTTCGAGAGCCCTCCCTGAGGCGGTATGATCAGCATACGTAAGGATCCGCTTGCCGAACGGTGTGTCTATCTCTGTGCTACTTCCAATCAATTGTGATCTTAGCCACACACACTTCTTGTCCGCACCGTCCATCCCGTCCGCACCCTCGATGCCGTACGCCCCCTCTTTCGGTGTCTCGAACGAAACAGATGATTCCCTGAAATCTTCATGGCCATGGCCATTATTTTTTGTCCCAATCTTGTTAAGGGCCACCACCTTCTCTTCACAGTGGATGGTAGAGCGCAAGGCCATTAAGGGACCAGTCAGGGTAAGTGAAAGAAGTTGATATGAGAGAGAGAGAGAGAGAGATTTTGTATGAGAGAAAAATGCTAGGAGAGTGAGAAATTTGCTATGAGAAAGAGAGAATTTTGCTAAGAGAGAGAGAAGAGAGAGAGAGGAAATCAATTCTAGTGCTGATGTTTCATGTATGTTGTATATATATGTTATATATATGGAGTTTTGTAGGCATGAAAAAAAGTCAAATACCTTGTCTCTGTTTGATGTGATGACACGTTCTCGCCTGCGTTACACCCATGTTTTCTAGAAAAATTTGACTTTTGAGAATAAGATATTACCGAGGTCTTATCAAAATTTATATCTCATGGGACGGTGGTCCGTCTGTCAAGGTAGGTCCCTTTCTTAAATAGCTTGAGAAAAAAAGTCTCAAACGTAGTTGAGACATCAAATCTTTCTTAAATAGCTTGAGAAAAAAAGTCTCAAATGTCGTTGAGACATCAAATGAACTTGGTAAAAAGTCTCAAACGTAGTTGAGACATCAATGAACTTTTAGCGTTATAAGTTAACTCGTAGTTTGTTTGAAAATTTTTCAATTTTTTGAATAGCATATGGTTGTATCCGAAAGAAAGATTTTTGTAATTTTTTATTGGTAAATGTATTTTTGTTTTTTTTTTTCTTCACCTATTTCTTTTGACTTATATATGGTCTCTATTATAATAAGATAAATTTCAAATAAATTCAATATAACAATAAAACCAAGATCTTAACAACTTGTGACATTGAAACAACTATACACTATGCTTTAGAATAAAAGATAAGATTGCAAGAAACAAAAGGAAGAGTGTCGGATATTACCTCAATCGGGCTTATTACACCCCACACCGAGTCATCACCATTCGATGGCGTGGGATCAACGGTCTAGCTTCAATCTCGAATCGAAAAAGTAAATTTTGGCGAAACCGCACCAATGGAACATGAACCTCTTTGATCACAAACTCAAATCCTAGTTGAATTGTCTTAACAATCTAGTTTGAGAGAGATAGATTCTCTTTTTGCTAAACCCTAAAACCCTCAGCCATAAATCCATATTTGAGAGATAGGAGATAAGAACTTCATAACTTAAACCCTTAGGTTCTTTTACAATGTGGGAGAGAGAGATAAACTTTCTTAAGAGAGAGATGGAAAGATAAGGTGTAGAGATTTTTTTGTAGAGACAATCCCTTTTTATAGGCTTTGAGTAAGATTAGGGTTTCTTAGGGTTTTCTTTGGCTTACCTCTTCTTGTGATATTGAACATAGACCGTTGATCAAGGGTGACTTGTGGGGTGAGAGATCTGAGCCATCCATTCCATAGATAGGCCATCAATATTATGGAAGGTGCATGAACCATTATCCCCATTTTCTATACCATTTTCTCATCAATAGAAATTAAATAAATTAAATCTAATCAAAATATTGTGCATACAATAAAATAGCACAAGTCTACTCAATCTTTCTACAAAATCTTTCAAAGATATATCAAGTCAATATCTTCCAGCCATATGGCCACTCGTCATATCACCAAAAAATAGGAAAGAGAATAAGGGTGGGGCGTGCCACCCAAGGGAGGCACTCGTGGGCCCCACCTTCTAAAAATATAGCGGGCCCATGTGCACAATGGGCCCCCATGATATTTTATATATTTAAAATTAATAAAAGGATTTTAGAATATTATTCGAATATTTAAACAATTGTAAAATCAATATTTTTAATTTTATAAATTCAAAAATTATAAATAAAATATCCAGGGGTTCATAAACATTCAAATAATAATCTTAAAATAATTTTCATTATAAAACAAACAAAATTAAATTAATTTGATGGGAAAAAGATCCATATGGTTTACGAATCAACAATCATGGGGCACTCCACCTTCAACTGTGAACTACAGACCACACTTTCTTTATTAGATTGACCCAGTGTTTTTCATGACCTACAGTCCAAGCAGGGCCTCATTAGCGGGTCACCAAAGTCCAGCCGATGAGTCAAGGGATCACAATCTCAGTCTGTGGATTTCAGGTCCTCCCCTAGAAACAAGTCAATGTCACCAAGACCTTATACGACCATAGCTCTATGGCGCATAGGGGTATCTCTCGTACATGTATACGCTTCACCCTAAAAGGTGGATTTTTGGCTTTCTCGAAAGATCTATCGATATGCATGCCATATGATGGTACATGGATGAGGTTTTGGCCCCGGTCTCTGTAGGCCACCATCACACACAAGGGTCACACAGTCCTTCGGCTCACTCATCCGGTCATGTTCTCCGACCTCATCAAGGGCTAACCCATAAATCCTCATCAGTTTGTTCTTCATGCCCAGGTAACATGAGTTTTTTCAAACCGACTGGCCTAGATCGTTAAGCACAGATCGATATCAACAAATCATCGTTTTCTTAGTATGGTCCACGAGGGACCACACTCCTACTGAATTCATGTTCTACGATATCATTTCATTTTACAGGCACTCATAAGGCCTTTAAATGCGACATAAACCCAACAGTATCTATATTGGACCTTTGGACATATATTCATGAAGAAAATCAATTGATTCTTTTATAAGTTAAAACTTGTTTTTTGAACAAGAGAGACCGATTCCTTGTTGTAGCATAGTTTCATCAAATATTCTTAATACTCCAAATGATCCTGCATGCTATAAAAAAAAACAAAAAAATCATCTATATAGTTAGCCACAAACTTTGAGAATGGTTTGAATATTGAATCCATCCTCCTTTGAAACTGCGTGTGACTGTTTTTCAGTCTGAAAGGCTTCACCAGCCATAATCCTTCAAGTGTGGAAAAAGTTATTTAACGAATATCTTGTTCTTCAGTTTTCACTTGGTGGTATTTTGACTTGTAGTCAAATTTTGAAAATTTTATTTTTTCAGCAACTCTTTGTATTAGCTCTTCCTTATTGGGTAATGTTAGAAGATTATAACTAATTACTATTCTAGGTTTTCTTTTTTAGTAGTTTCCCACAATGCAGGCTGCATAGGAATAATTTGATTGAGATAACCTTCTAAACTCTTTTTTCTTCCATTTCTTTCATTTGAGTTTTCAGTTCTTTTTCATCTTCTTTATTGCATTTTATAGGTTTACTTTGAACTGGAATGTCATGGAGAGTTGGAATATGGGCTTTGGATGAATCTTTATCCCAAATTTTCAAAGGATGTTCAATACAATATTTCTTGATGATTTATGTAATTTTTCTTATATCAAACAATTTTGAGCTGGCTTCTAAACTAGTGTCCTTTATTTATTTGATAATTTCATATTTCTCATGTTCTTTTTCTAATTTTTGGACATCTTTCATAATCTCTATTATAGAAGAATTATTTTGAATTTTATTTGTCCTCATGTAAATAGCCGGTGGAATTCGAGGTACAATTTTCTATCTCTTTCTATAAAGTTGAGTTTCCTTTGAAGCCATAGTCTTTAGAGGTTTGTCATTCTATAAAGTTGAGTTTCCTTTGAAGCCATAGTCTTTAGAGGTTTGTCAATAAGTTTGGTTACTTTATACGTCGTTTTATTTTATTATATAGAATTTCCTTTTGTAAGGATATATAATTTAAACTTAACTATATGTACTTTTATTTTTTATAAATTATAAAAAAGAAATATATATTATTAATTTGAAAAAGAAAAATAAATTTTATTTTATAGACTAATTCATTTTTTGTAGAGAGAGGGATATGCTAATGAAAATGAAAAAGAACGAGCGAGAGAGTTAATGGAATCGTAGACATGTAACTGTCTAACTTTGAATTGGAAGTTGGAGATATTTGTGGGAGAAAATCCTACCATAAAAGGGTGAACCCCACATCACTAATAAAAGGTACTATTCATGAGGTACGCTAGACGATAGGTGTAAAACCCTGTGGCCCCCACAACAATATGTTTTGTTGGAAAACAGTTGAAAAACGACAAAATGTTTTGTTGGAAAACTGTTGAAAAAATTTGATTCCTACCAGCTCTTTGGCAAAAAACCAGTATGGACCGGCTCAAACCAGCCAGTTCTGGGGGAACATCTTCGGAACCTAAGATGTTGAGGGATATGAAATTGTGAC